CCTCTCCCTCTGCCTTTCCCCTCATGCTCACTTGCTTGCTTGCTCTCTCTCTCTCTCTCTCTCTCCTCAAATAAATAAATAAATAAACAAATAAATTTGGGACACTCTTTTTTTTTTTGGACACTTCTTTTCAGAGATTGAAGTAGGTATGTCTACTAGCTAGCAAACCTTAGTAACAGAGCATCTAACAGATTAAATTATTAAGCCTTAAGCCACTTGAATCAGAACAAAGGTAGTAGGAGAGTTGTGTGGAATAATCAATGTACCAATCAGATAGGTGCCTGCCAATCTTATTACCCTTCAAAAAAGCCTCTGAGGTCTTGCCTTTTGAAATTTTCCCTATCAATATATTTCAATTGTTTGTTCTGTTTGAGACCACAGAGATGGACCATCATCTAGAAGTCTAGGGGGTGGCCCTGTATTAGATGGCAACTAAGATCATTTTTCTTTGAGATTTTGAATGTAAAACATATGGAGAGAGAGGAAAAATAAGGAAAAGTCTTAGAACATAAGAAACAATGTTTTACTAGAAGTAATATTTAGGAAAAAAATGGAGATTTTGCTAGTTTGCAAATATATAACACATGCAGGTAGAAAAAGAAACAAAGCCAAAAGTACTGAGTCATTGCATCTGGAAAACTAGTGGAGTGAGAGGCCTCCAGCCATTGTGAGAGTCATTTTGGAGTCGTCATTATTAACCACCTACCAGTTCTTCCAATGTTTTACAACAAATCCCATTGGTTGAAGTAAACTATGACTGTTTCCTCTTTACCTTGTAGCCAAAAAGTCAAACACATTCACAGGAAAGTCAGATAAACTTTCACTACCCATCCAGAGAGTCTCCTAATGACTAAAATATTTCTATGCCCTCGATCCAGTGTCTAGATTCTAGATTCTTTGGATAGTGTTAGAGACTTAAAATCCCTCTATAGGTTTTTGACCCCTTTCCAACATACAAAATATATACCTAAATAGGGCAACAGACAATTGATTAGTTTAGTGCTCTGACCTTGTCATTACTGTAAAATACAATTCAGTTGTTCATATGTTTCCTGGAATGATTTGGACTGTATTTTTGAAAATTGTGGTACCACCAAGACTGAATCAGGAAGAAATAAAAAAATCTAAATAAACCAAGTTTTAGTAGGAAGATTGAATCAGTAATAATAATTTTAAAATCTCTCAACAAAGAAAAGCCCAAGACCAGATGACTTCACTGGTAAATTTTACCAAATATTCATTTGTTTGCTTGTTTGTTTTTAAAGATTTTATGTATTTATTTATTTATTTATGAGAAAAAGAGAGAGTATGCAAGTTGGGGGAGGGGCCCTGGGAGAGGGGAGAATTTCAAGCAGAATCTGCACTGAGCATGGAGCCTGATGCAAGGCCTCAAACTCACAACCCCAAGATCATGACCTGAGTTAAAACCAAGAGTTGGACACTTAACCAACTGAACCATCCAGGTGCCTGTTTTCCCAAATATTTTAAAAAGAATTAACACCAATCCTTCACATTCTCTTTCAAAAAATCAAACAAACAGGAGGGAATAGTTCCAAACATATTTTATAAAGTGTCTATTATCCTGATACCAAAACCGGAAAAGAATGCTACTAGAAAAAAACCCTACGAGCAAATATCCCCAATGAATATAGATGCGAAAATTCTCAATAAAATACTAGCAAACTGATTGGTAGCACATTAAAAGGATTATTCATCATGATCAAGTGGGATGCAAGATGGTTCAACATACACATACAACAATTTTTGAAAATTGTGGTGCCACATCACATTAGTAGAATAAAAGAAAAGAACCATATGACCATCTCAACAGATGCAGAAAAAGTATCTGACAAAATCCAATATCCATTCATGATAAAAACTATTAACATATTAGGTAACAAAGGAATATATTTCAACATAATAAAAGCCACATATGAGAAGCCCACAGCTAATACTACCCTCAGTGATGAAAGATTGAAAGCTTTTCCTCTAAGATCAAGAACAATATAAGGCTCATTCTCAACACTCATATTCAACATAGTACTAGAAATCCTGGCTATAGCAATCAGGCAAGAAAATTAAATAGAAGATATCAGAATTGTAAAGGAAGAAGTAAAATGTCTCTACTTGCATATGACATGATTTTATGTATAGAAAACCTAAAGACTCAACAACAAAAAACCTGATCGATCTAATCAATGAATTTACAAAGTTGCAGAATAAAAAATTAACATACAAAAATCGATAACATTTCTATACACAACAACAAATTTTCTGAAAAAGAAATTTAAAAATCTATCCCGTTCACAATAGCATCAAAAACAATAAAATATTTAGGAATGAATTTACTTAAAAAGGTGAAAGACCTCTACTCTGAAAATGGTAAAATACTGGTTAAAAAAAAATCAAAGAAGGAACAAATAAATGGAATGTTTTCCTATATTCATGGATTGGAAGAATAAATATGGTTAAAATATCAATAATACCAAGAGCCATTTATAGATTTAATGAAATCTCTATCAAGATTCCAATGGCATTTTTTTACAAAGACAAAACTAAAAAACATTCTTTTAAAAAAATATTTTATTTATTTATTCATGAAAGACAGAGAGAGAGAAAGAGGCAGAGACACTGGCAGAGGGAGAAGCAGGCTCCATGCAGGGAGCCCAATGTGGGATTCAATCCCGGGTCTCCAGGATCAGGCCCTGGGCTGAAGGTGGCACTAAACTGCTGAGCCACCTGGGCTGCCCCTCTAAAAAACCTTCTAAAATGTATATGGAACCATAAAAGTCCCCAAATAGCCAAAGAAATTCTGAAAAAGAAGAACAAAGCAGGAGGCATCACACTTCCTGATTTCAAGCTTTACTATAAAACTATAGTCATCAAAACCATATAGTACTGGCAAATAAAAAAATACAAATAGACCAATGGAATAAAATCAAGAAACCAGAAATAAACCCAAGCATTTACATCAACTAATTGAGAAGAGAGCCAGGAATACTCAATGAAGAAAAGCAATCTTTGCAATAAATAGTGCTGGGACATTTGGGTATTCACATGTAAAAGAATGTAATTAGATCCATATCTTCTACCACTCACAAAAATTAATTCAAATGGATTAAAGACTTAAAGATCTGAAACCATAAAACTCCTAGAAGAAAACATAGGAACAAGGCTTCTTGACATGGGCCTTGGTAATGTGCGTAATTTGGATATGACTACCTAACACACAAGTAAAAAAAAGAAAAAATACACAAGTGGGACTACACCAAAATTAACAAGTTTCTGCACAGCAAAAAATAAAAAAATAAAATTAAAAAAAAATAAAAAATAAACCAACCATCAACAAAGTAAAAAGACAATCTACATAATGGGAAAAAAATATTTGTAAATCCTGTATCTGATAGGGGGTTAATATCCAAAATATGTAAAAAAATCATACACCTCAAGAGCAAAAAAGCAACCTGGTTAAAAATGGGCAAAGGACCAGAATAGATATTTCTCCAAGGAAGATTTACAAAAATATAGGTACATGGAAGATTCTCTGCATCACTAGTCATCAGGGAAGTGCAAATTAAAACCACAATGAGATAACACATACCTGTTAGAATGGCCATCGTCAAAAAGACAAGAGATAGCAAATGCTGGCATGAATGTGCACTGTTGGTGAGAATGTAAATTGATAAAGACACCATGGAAGAGAGCGTAGAGGAACCTCAAAAAAATCACAAATAGAACTACCATATGATACAGCAATCCCATTTCTGGAAATATATGCAAAAGAAAAGGAATGAAGAATGAAAACACTAACTTGAAAAGCTACCTGCATCCCCCATGTTCATAGCAGCATTATTTACAATAGCCAGGAGACATGGAAGCAAATCTAAGTGTTTATTGATGGGTGAATGGATAAAGAAGTTCTGGTATATATATACATGCAATGGAATATTACTCAGACATTAAAAAGAAAAGAAAATTTTACTATTTGTGACAACATGGATGGAACTTGAGGGCATTATGCTAAGCGAAATAAGTCAGATGGAGAAAGACAAATACTACAGTCTCACTTATAAATGGAATCAAAAGAAAAAAGAAAAAAAATACACACAGAAAGAGTGGTCAGACTTGTGGTTACCAGAGGCAGAGGGTAGGGGAAAGGGGAATTAGAGGAAGGTGGTCAAAAGGTACAAATGTCCAGTTATAAGATTAAAAAAAGTAATTAAAATGTAGTGTACAGAATGATGACTTTAGCTAACACTGCTACATGGTATATGTATATGCTATCTGGTACATAGGAAAGTTGTTAAAAGAGGAAATTCTAGGAGTTTGCATCACAGGAAATTTTTTTTCCTTTTTCCTTTTTTATTGTTTTATCTGTATGAGAAGATGGATGTTAGCTGGACCATTCTGTGGTAATCATTTCACAGTATGTGCATAGCAAACCATCATGCTGTATGCCTTAAAGTTATACAGTATTACTTGTCAGTTATCTCTCAATAAAACTGGAAGAAATGCTGTGGTACCAATTTCGTCTTGTTGAAAGCTTGCCTTCGTCAACTTGCTCTCAATAGCACAGGGTTAACACCCTGGTATTGCCCTCTAAGCACCGGTTTCTTGATTATTCCTCAGGGTGTATAAATTTTTTAAATGACTGATCTCGTCCACTGTGTTGGATTTTTTTTTTTTTTTAGTTTTACAGTCACAAGTTAACCTTATTTTCCAGCTCCCACATGACACACCTCATTTTCCCTTTTTGTGCTGACAAGAGCATCATGCTAATTCAGATCTATCAATGAAAAATTAAGAGCTTTCAGATTAATTATAGCATAAACGTTAGGCAGGGGCAGAAATATAATGTAAAAATCCAGACTTATTCAATCAATTCTAGTGTATTCTCTTTCAAGGGAGGGACAAAGAATCCAAAGGCTGCTATCAGGGAATTCTCCAACCTTCATGAAAGTTCCTTGCTTTGCAAATAGGCCAACAACAGCAGAATCCAGCAGGTGAGATGAGGCCCAGATTGGTGGTCTCTGAGGTGAAGCAGTCTGGCAGCTGGCTTCTGGTTCAGGCCAACAAGCCCTTAGGACCAAGTGTCAAGTCATAGAGGAAGGATGTGGCAGGTGCTGTGGGCTCAGTCAGTGAGGAGGACTCCCGCCTGAGAAGAGAATCAGAGCAAAGTGGCAAAATAAGACAATAGGGCCACTCTGTCAAAAGACACAGGTCCTCTAGTCCCAACACAGCAGCACTCTCTCCCCTGTCCTGCCTGAGGGCTGGCTCCACAGGGTGTAGGAGACTCTGAACTTCTAGGGGTTGTTTGTAACTAGAAAGAAAGTGTGTTGGTCTACAGATGAATCCTGTTCCTGGATGATGCCTGGGCAGAGAGTTCAGCTTGCCCCACTTTCTTGTCACAGGAAGCAAGCTGCCACAAAAATCCTTTAGAACAGTGATTCTTTTTCTAATCGTTAGCAAAAGAGCCTTTTTCAAGTGAAATTTTTTTGTGGAATGTCAAATATATAAAAATAGTTGAAAGTGTATCAGCCTTCAACAGCCTAGAGCCCAAACCCAAGGCCTCCCCACTGAGCCCCACCCCCATGGCAGCCTCTGCAGCCCCTCCATGAAACTATTGGAGCTGGTGGGATACAATGTGAAAGCCACTGCTTTCACAGGCAGTCTGTCTATGAAATGCCAGGCAGTCTGTCTATGAAAGCCTGAAAGCATGGATTCAGGCAAATGTGAATAATAAAAACCATGCATCATGCCAACAACCTAAAAAAAAAATCTATCAAAGTTGAATCGACTGGTCCCTGGGAAACCCTAACTGTCAAAAGCATCCTTGAATCCTACCACATCTGTGGTCTGCCGCTGGAAATACTCTTATTAAAAAGGCACTAAGAGGCCATGCAATGGCCTGGAACATGTCATTTGGAATCATAAACCCTGAATTTGAGTCACAGTGCTGCCACCTGCTAGCTGGGTAATCCTGAGAAAATGTCTTAAATTCTCTGAGGCCAGAGGTGCCTGTATGGCTCCGCCAGTTAAGCATCTGACTCTTTTTTTTTTTTAAGATTCTATTTATTTATTCATGAGAGACACAGAGGGAGAGGCAGAGACATAGGCCGAGGGAGAAGCAGGCTCCCTGCGGGGAGCCTGATGCAGGATTCGATCCCAGGACCCTGGGACCACGACCTGAGCCGAACACAGACATTGAACCACTGACCTACCCAAGTGCCCCAAGCATCTGACTCGATCTCAGCTCAAGTCTCAATCCCAGGGTCATGAGTTCAAGCCCTGTGTTGGGCTCCATTCTGGGCATGGAGCCTACTGAAAAACAAACAGACAACAAAAAACCTCTCTGAACCTTGACTCTTTCTCATCAGGAAAAGAAGGATAATAGGTTTCTTACTCATTTTAAATAGACATAAGGATCAAATGAAAGAATCCATTAAACGGGTATGTAAACTGCAAATCTCTGTATGCATGGAAGTTGCTGAAATTATAAAAATCTACGGTCTGTTATGTCATTCATTCACTCTGCAAGTTTTTTTATTGAACAATACTCCAATCACTGTAAAAACAATAAATTGGGGTAATTTGGATGTGACTTCTCTATATCCCACTGAACAAGGCAACAGTAAAGAGTAATGACTTGCTTCCAGGAGCAGTGATGGGATCCTCACTACTTGTGATAGCTCCTCCCCACTTCCTGAGCTCCCTGACATGCTAGTGCAGCTTCCTCAGTCACTGCTACATTCACTGCCTTCCTCCCACAGCTGGGCGCCTGAGGTTCCCTGATTCCTGCCTCGATGCAGAAAATTCAGAGCCAGCTGACCTGGTCATTCTATGAGAGACAGACCACCAAAGTTAGATAGACTAACTTTCACCACCAACATTTGGCTACACTGCCCAACAGAACTTTCTACATTGATGGAAATGTTCTATATGTTCACTGTTTCGTAGCTAGCGACTAGCCACATATGGCTACTGGCCTCTTGAAATGAGTATAGCAAAGGAATGGATTTAATTAGTTTAATTTAAATAGCCATGCATGGCTAGCAGACAGCGTAGCTCTCTAGGGGCATGGGCTGGAATGGATGTCAAGCCCAATCTTTTCAATGAAATCTAGGAGAGCATATAGTCATTGTACCCAGGTCATTTTGAAAGATGGCAACATTGTTAAATACATACATAACGGTTTTATCATAGCCACACGATCTGTCCTAATTCAGTCTCCAATAGTGCTTCTCCTAATTATTGAAAGTTGTTAGCAAAAACCAATGTCATGCACAAAGACTGAGCATGCATGTGAGGGATTTAGCACTGTGATCAAATAAAACTTAAAATTAATCTGACACCTATTAATGATGTGCATAATAGTTACAGTACACGCAGTAATTAGTTATAAAGGGGAAGTCATCCTCATAAATTACTAAAATTAGCATCACTTTTATACACTGTTTATTTTCTGGTATTAACAAATCACACCAATATTCTTAGCTTTCCTGAATTCTTTGTAAATGCCCATCCCAGCATCATTAAAAGATCAGAATCCCAGCTCCGAAGCTATTGCTACATGCTATCCTGTCTCAGTATTCTTTCCCTCCCTAATAGCACCCGTAGATGAGGTCTTTGGTACCCCAGGTCATACTGTCAGCTTCTGCTACTCTTTGTCCCACCTCTGAGATATCACTGAGCAGGGCAACTTTTACTGCTCCCCTCGTGAAGTTCCTGCTCTGGGTGAGGCAGATCATGGATAGACAGTTCTCCCCAACAGCTATGCATCAAGGAAAAGGGAAGAGAGAAGAGAGGGCAAAGTGGGAAGGCCAGGAAGGAAGCTGGATGCCAGGCAAAGGCATCCTACTGGAATACTGAATATGGACTCGGGATGGAGGTATGGAGACAGAGGGAGACAGCCTGGAGCAAAAGACAGTGCAGCAGCTAGAAGAGAAGGCCTGCACTCTTGCCCAATGGGACCCTGGTCCTGAAGCCAGACCTGAGAGCAGCCTTGGGGCACAGAGATTCAGGGAACCTCCAGGCACACATGCTATGCTGAGTGGTCCTTGATAATATGCTTCTGGTGGCTCCACATGGGACACAGCTTATGTGTGTGGAGGGCAAAAATACTCAGCATTGAGGTCTCGATCTCCTGGGAGACCAGAAGAGGCAGAGGGGGGTAGCAAGTACCTGAGGTGAAGCAGAGAGGACAGGGCAAGGGGGAGGCTTTGAAAGCACAGGAAGAGAGTCCATGGTTCCTCTTGTCAGGGAAAAACTGCAAAAATTGGCCATATTTGCAGAAAATGTTCATTTCCATAGCAAGTGCTGAGCTATAAATACCTCACCAGTCAGACTTGAGCAGGCCCAGCAGACAGATTACATGCTTTCCAGGTTAAGGAGGTCAGGGCTCAGAGGGTAACGAAATGTGTGACTTCCTTACAAAATTCTCCCCAAGGGCTCCAGACACCATCCTGCTCTCCTGCTCAGGCTGTGCTTTTTCCTAAGGTGGTAACTGCCAGGTTCTGGTTTCTTATTCCAAGGTCCAAACAATAAAGGAAGAGGAAGAGTTTGGCAACGCTTGTACTGACCACAATCCTTTTTCCTTCAAGGACCCTCCCTATCTCTACAGTTTCAGTGTGAATCTGAAACAAGATGCCAGTGACAGTAACAACAAACTACATTCACTGAGGGACCCGTATAAGCTGCACTACATTTTCCCACCTGTCTGTCTGTCTTTGTGCCTGTCTGTCTCCCCCAACCTCCTGCATGGCTACTGTACAACACTTGACTTGATGTCTTCTCCATTCACAGAGCCAGCTCGGCTAGAAACTAGCATTTCTTGGTCTCAAACTCACTGGAAGGGAGGATTACTTAGCTCAGCTTGAGCTAGAAATCTACCTTGATTGAATCAACAGAAACTCAGCTACTTACAGAATACAGCTGAGCAAGTGGTGGGGCCCCACCTGAGGGAGAAAGAGAGTGACAGTCCTTAGAGAAGGGAGATGTGAGCTAAACAAATACCTAGCAGCATGTTTACTGCAGTGCAGCCCTTTAGTGGTTGGTGTCCATAGAGTCTTTCTTTGAACTTGGGGAAGAATAGTCCTCACTGGAGGTGGGGGAAATGCTAGAGCAGGGGTTAGGGTAGCCTCTAGCTTCTGCATGGTTTTACTGCAGACTCGGTTACCTCCAACTAATGAAGACCAATACAAGCTGTATACAGAGGACTTTGGTTCTGCCTGAACACAGGTACACTGGAATCACAATCCTTTTTTCGATAAAATGTTACTTTCAATTCCTCTGAAGCCAAGAGATTCCTTGGAAGGGAGATGCTACCAATAGTAAAGTTCTTCAGTGAACAAATTATTGTGTGCCCTTCCCTTCAGGCAATCTGAGAAAACCTGGTGGGAGAAAGTGGCTCAGAAGGCAGTATGTGGGGCAACTGTTTTGGAGATTGCATGGAAGGGGGATGAGCTTATGATCTGCCAGTAGATTTAATGGTAAAGGTTCCTGTCCTGGTGATTAAGTAACTCAAATGTCCATTGCAATTAGCATTCTTAGTTGCCTTTATTAGTCTCCTGGAGAGAAGGTAAGGACCAGGAAGGTTAGGCTCACCTTTGGCAGCTGCTGATTGAAAGCAATTCTGAGCTGCATCTCTGATGGTGAGCTCCTTATGACTAAGGAGAAGACATCAGTACAGAAATCGTTCTGTAGAAAAACTTCAAATAAAGAAAAGCCTTATCTCCTAGGAAACCAATTCACTCCTCCTCATTCTCTGTTCAGAAAGATGGCCAGCTTTCCCTTTTCCCATTCCCAACCCCATAATCATTTCCTTCTTCAAAAGCTCACAGTCTAACAAAGCAAGAAGGCATTCTAGATGAGGATATGTATTTTTTAAGCTGAATTATTTTATCCAGCCAAGGTCCAACACAATTTCCAAATTCAGAATCCATTTGAAAAGATATTTGGGATGTAGAAACACAGACAGCTGCCAAATAATCACTTAGATATGACAAGGAATACAGGCTGTGAATTAGAACACAGCTGGAATCTACCTATAGGACCATTTTCCATACGGCAGAATTTAGCAAATGACATCTCTATTACAAGGGGTCTGGTTCCTCATGTCTCCTGTAAGCAATTTCACAAATATTATGGCCTTAAGGT